CGATGTTCATGAAAGGTATGAAGCCTTCGGCATAGCCGAAGACAGCGCTGCTCTTACTTGTTTATTTATAAATCTGGACGCTTGTGATTCGAATCGAGCAGCACATATGTAGATAGTTTCTGCAGTTATAATTTTGCGTAGAAAACTGTGTATTTCTGGGTATGAATAGAAATTAGACGTTAATGATTATTATTCAAATCTGTTCAAAGGGTTTTTTCAACACATTTCACGTTGAATATTCTGTGGGGAGCAAAGCATATTGAATAGGTAGCAGCTGCTTTTAGTCGCGAATTTCGTCTTTTAATTGTCATTTTTGTTTAAATTTCTTTCACTTCAAACTTTCAACCCTTGCACTTTATTGGCAACCTTTGAACTTGCACTTTATTGGCCTAAGATTGAAAGGGCTACAAAACTGCATACCCAAAAATTCGGATCAAAAAGTTTTAAATTTTGAAGTATGATCAATTTTTGTGAAAATCCGCGCACGCGTTTATTTAAGTGGTTTCTGTTATAGATTAATTTATATTTTAAATGAAAATTAGTAAAAAAAACAAACAAAAGTTGCAAATCATTTTGAATTTTGGTGCTAATTCTTTGACCATAGCTATAGATAGAATTTTAGAAATGGTAGAAGTAGTTCTATATGTTTTGACCACCACTGTACTTATGTACATAGACATATCGTTGATAAAATGTAGCAAGGCCCCCACATTTTTTCGAAATTTGGTTTTTTGCATTCCCAAGAAGCTTATACTAAAACCCATCTTCCCTAAAAAATTTAGAACCGTAACTCAAAAACTAGCGAACTTATGCCAATTTTTAAAAAGCCCTTACTGAACGAATAAAAATTTGTGAAAGCCAAAAGCCCTAACTGAAGTGCTTTTGCTACAAAAAGTTTATTAATGCAAATACAACTTCAAAGAAAGTTGTATAAGTTTAGTGGCCTTTGCATTTGTAAATAATTCCGAGACCAGCTAAAATTCTTCACGTTTTGTTTTATATTAAAATATTGCTTCTGTCGAAGGCGCTACGATTAATTCGCATGGAGTGATAAAAAAGCACAAACGTGTTAGATATTACACTCAACCCTGTAAAGGGGCATGGTTTTGCCTTCTTGTCCATGTTTTGCTCGAGCAATTAATTCATAATACTGTCGATTTAAGCAACTATCTGATTTTCAGGGCAACCATCTCCCCTGACAAAGCTTCAAAGGGCGAGGTATGTGCCTTTTTTGCCTAACAAAAGTGTGTTATTTTAAGAAACGAACACAAAGTTTTCTCACCGTTTGCCTTTAGTTTAAAACCGAACACGAAAAGCGAAAGAGGGAATCAAAAGGTGACATTTTTTTGGTAGAAACGAAATCGCCATAAGACAAAGAACGGGAATACTTTCTGTCAAAGGCCACCCAGGTTGATCTGACAGTTATATAAATATTACATACTTATATCCCTTTATTTTTTGTTGTTTATTTCATAACTTCGTATTCACAAAGGCCCTATCTGACAGACGTTCTACATAATGGTTAAGAAACCTAATTTTTTTTAAGTATGATAGGTGTTGATATTTAACACAAATTCCATCAATAATTTTCAATTCATTTTTAACCGACTTCCAAAAAAGGAGGAAGTTATCAGTTCGTCGGAATATTTTTTTTTTTTTATGTTCGTTACCGCATAACTTTGGACCACGGAACTTAGGCAACAAATGAAAGAAACATTCTCTAGAATTGGAAACAAAATTTGGTGCAAAAGGACGAATAGGTTTTGGAAATACCCTCTTAAAATTGTATGCTTTAATATCCTTGAAAATTCTAATATATATATTTTTTAATTATATATGTATTAAGTACATATCAACGGCACTAAAACCTTTTTCAAGTTCGACATGTTCGATTTTGGATACTCCTGTTGTAATCGTATTGAAATCACTCTTCATTTCGAGCACACAGTTGGAACAGATTAACAATTACAAGTCTTCTTAAGAAATCTTAAGTCCGAAGAGCAATCTTAAAATTTATACTTTTAATTTAAAAATACTATCAACATAAAATAAAATAATAATGAGTGCCATATACTTTCAGATATATATTCTGACAATTGCGATTAGCCTTAACTTCGTCACAACCAAAGTGTTGGAAAAGCAAGCGGCTCGTGGTATCAGGTATGTAGATATATTAGAATTTCATCTTCATTTATTACAAATGCTCTATATTCTATACAACCTCTAGCAACTCAGCACTGCAACCACTAGATAGCACGTCCTTTGATTACGATTATTTTTCGCCTCAGGCACGGCAAAGTCAAGCACCAACTCAGCGACCATTCATAAACTATTGGAATAACCTGGTGCAAAATATACGTCTCCCAGTACCTTATATCAGGTGGAATATGACTAACCCGCTGGTGAATCTATTCAACGCCGGTGCAACCAATGTTATCGACACGCCAGTGGGAAACTATAACAAGAGAAACACAAAACGCAAGCGCAACAAAAAAACAAGAACCCAACAAGATATGCTTACAAAACGAACCAAAAAACCCAAATACACAAATTCAGCTTATGAGGGAGAAGATGAACAGATGTATCAGACTACTAGTTATAATGATTACGAAGTACCATACAAAACCCTCTATTTTTATGATGCGCGCACTGGTCAATATTATAAAATGCAAAATTTGCATACTAATAACTACTTAAGTGCTTACAATCCCGCTGTACAGCAACCGAACGAATTTGAAGAGGAAGTAGGTACTGCAGAACAACCAGTTCGGCACGAGGTAGCTGCACAAATTGAGCCGCCAACTGCAGAAGCATCTGTCGAAAGCAATAACTCTGATGATCAAGCAATGCACGAAAATATCGAAGAAGAAACTCTTCCTGACTCACAAGAAGCAAAAGAATCTGAAGAAGTTGAGATAATACCACCAGATATGGAAATTAGCGATGAGTCAGAAGAGAAGCCTACTCTAGGAAGACAGTCAGATCTTATTAAGCAGACTAAACAGCATAAAGTAAAAAATATTGAAAAGCTGCATAACTCACTTGCCGCTTACATGAAAGACGATCACTTCAATCGGATGCGTCAGCGGGCAAACACAAAACAAAGTTCAGGAGCTAAGCAAAACAAAGAAAAATCACTGCCTAGGAAGAAGTTCGCATATTACATATTACAACCATTTTAATGTCTAAGCTAAAATTAAATATTGGTAAACATGCTCTGGTTTTAATAATAATCAGTTTCCAACTAAAAAATTCACTGAAGATTAAATCTAACTGGATAACCTTACAACCAGGAAAGCGTGAAGACCTACCCCTATTGATTTATATTCCACATGAAGATATAAAATTTTGACCAACTAAACGAATAGCAATAAGTAGAAGAAATGTGACTATAGAAAAAGGCAGTTCTATTACTTTTGCATAGTTAAATTTAAGTTACAAGACAGCATAATTATAAACATTAAATAGTAAATTAGCTAAGAATTGAAAATAAAGAACAATTGAAAGCAAAGAGCACCTAAGGAGTGTCAACTGGCAGTACTACATAATCCACATGCTCTACATCATCGAAGTAGGGATGCGTCATGGCATTTTTAGCTGATATGCGTTCATTGGGTTCGTACAGCATCATAACCTGTGAAAAAAAAACAATAATATTCTTACTGTGGATAGCAAAGAGTCAAGTCGTCACCTTAAATAGATCATAACCTTCGTGCTTCACAATAACGTCTGGTATATTAGTTTTCTCCCATCTAGGGAATTTAGCCTTGTAATCTGGTAATTGACTAACACCAGGCCAAGTATTTTCATCAGGTGTACCCAATGTGCGAAATATTCGGTATAACTGGTCGATTTCGCTATCACCAGGAAAGAGTGAACGCTTCATAATCTAAGGAGATAATAAAGATGGCTTTAATTAGTTTCTTACTTAAAATAAGTTAAATTTTCATGTATCACCATTTCAGCAAATATGCAACCTAAACTCCATATATCCATGCCTGTCGCATAATATTTGGTGCCTAATAGTATTTCAGGTGCGCGGTACCACAGCGTAACGACCTCGTGTGTATAGGCGCGCATTGGCATATTGAAGGCACGCGCCAGTCCAAAATCTGCCAACTATA